GGGGTTATCATAGTACGTGATAGTGTAGGAAGCCTCCGATTCGAAGGCATCTTGGGTCAGGATGCTGTCATTCACCAACCCAACCATCAAGTACAGAATGTCCACTCTTGCATGCTGGAGCAGAAGTACGTTTTCGAACTGATGTTCTAAAGACACGATGTACTTCAGCCCAAGCCGAACGATGTCTCGCATGTGCAGTGGCACGTCAGCAAGATCAATGCGAATGTAGTTCTCGACTTTGCTCATGTTCCAGTCCGGTGAACGGCCGTCCACGTTGCGCGCGCCCTCTCCGAAGAAAGCATCTACGAATTGATCCACCTCTGTGTTGGGGATATTGTCCTCATCGAAGCCACACTCGTCGTACCTTCTGCGGTTGTCTTCGTTGCTCAGGCAGGTGTAAGCCCTGTTGAGCTCTTGAAACCTCTCATTTGATCCTCCGGGCTTGTCGGGGTGAAATCTTAGCGACAGCTTTCGATAAGCACGGACAATCTCAGCCTTCGATGCATCAATAGGAACTCCAAGCACGTCATAATAAGGCAGCTGCCGATGTTCATGCACGTCATTGAACTCCCGCAGGCGGCGCCATGCACCCTGTGATGCTGCCATGCAAACTTAGTTTTCTGACCCTGCTTGACTGAATGTGCGACAGGCTTGCGATCGTCCCGCTCCCTTCCATAAACTGTGGTCAGAAATGGTCATTACAGCCAACACCAACGCAACTGTAGCGCGACCGGACCAGGAATGTCCTGCGCAGCAAAGGGCAGCACCGCTCGGGTCAGCCCGTTCAGTGTCCTCACGACGATGCCTGTTCAAGCGAGCATTCCAGCGAAGACAGCTTCGACATGTAAGGTCTTGCCTTCTTGGCAACAAGCAAAAAGGAATCCACCCGAGAAGGACGCTGCAGAGGCAGCCAGCGGCACAACCTAGTTAGCGAGATTCCTTGCAAATAAACCTGCCAACGAACGCTGAAGCTTGCCATGCCTGGAGAACGCGAGTCTCAGGGAGGGAGACTCGCTTGAGGCTATCGGTGCTGACCACAAACATGTCTCGGCCTCTGCATTTTTAATGTACATTTGCAGCCGCTGCCACTCACTGCCACTCGCTTCTGTCCGAGAGCATGGCTGGCACTTGACAGACTAGGAGGTGAAGGCGACGAGGACAGCGCTGATGACTGAGTCCAGGAACATCGTGGCCGGACACTGCAAGAAATCTAGAAACCTCCGATGCGACACAGCTACTCCAGCCACCATGTCCAGAACAACTCCACCACAACGCCATCGCCTCACGACCTGGCCCGTCAAAAGGCAGCATTTTCCGAGTACCCAGGCCGCATACTCTCCCGCCTTCTTGCTTCGAGTGTCTGCCAGCTGCAAGACGCCATCCTCCGAAGTTTGCAATGCTGCTGGGACTATCATGGGCTGTCCGTGCCGTCCTCATGCCCCAGAAGCAAGAATGACTCGTCGTCGAAAGCCGAAATGCAGGTTACAGCCGTTTCGTGAGCCTCGGCTCATTTGGACACGACGATCCCAATTCTCGCATGGAATCTGGGAAACAAAGCTAAGGAGCATGTTGCAGCATGTCACAATTTCCACCAGATCTCCAGAAACATACGGAACCGAAGGCGTCGGCAGACACAGGCCAGCCCTGCACGAGGCAGACCGCAGTGACCGGGGCTGTGTCCCCCAAGTATGTTGTTCCTGTCCAGTCGCTCCATTCCTGACTGACAAACTTCAAAGACTCCCCCTCAGACCCGTCACGCCACAGCTCCACGCGAGTGTCTGCTCCACCAATCGCGAAGACGTTATCGCAGGCTGCCAGGCAACGGATCTCACTTACGTGCTCGGAAACCAGCTTGCGAACTCCATCTTCCTGATGAAACACGAGGGCATTCTCTTCGGCACAAACAAGGATGCGATGCGAAAGAAACTGAAGCGGCTCACCCGAAAACTGCTGGAGAGTGTGCTGCTGCGGCTGTCCAGAAATATCGACCTCAATTAGGGATCCGTTGCAAGCAATCCGGACCGCGCGCGCGGGTGGTCGTCCAAAAACATCCAAATGAGAGGCCCAAAAATCTTCAGGTCGGCTCGCCCGTCGAAGATGCGAACGAGGGCAAGAAGCCACAGCCTACGCTCATCGTGAAAAGCCAGAACCTTGTCGTTGCCAGAGCCAGCGCTGCTCTCTGCGCTCGTAGCAGTATCGACCGGCTTGGTCTCCGCATCGTCAGCGGTGCAAAGCTGGCGTCCCAGCGAAACAAGCAGCCCAATGCAAAGCCTCGGCTTCAACCACCCTATGGGAGCACATGCACCTCACAACCTTCAACATGAATGAAACAGGGCCCTGCATCTTTCGACTTTCAACATATCAAAGTGCCTGCGCCCAAGCTCAGTCTATATGACTTCGGCCGTTCGGCAGTCAGAAACTGATCAACAGCTGCAGAAGCAAGCTTAAGATGTGAAGCCCCACCAGGTGCAACCTGAAATGAGCCAGGATGCGTGGGAGGAATACTCACAAGACATAGGCATGTGTTCAGAAGTCTACCTGAGGCTTTGCACACTGCCTCATGTGTGCGGATCCTTCTGAAACAGTACGGCTTACTCCAACTGGACACATGGCAAGCACAGGCAGCTCTGTTCGGAAGCTGGCGTTCTCCAGGAGATAATCTCGAGCATAAGGCACGTACAAAGAGGACCCTATTTGCTTGAGCCCGGTCCGCACAGCGGAGGCTCAGCTGCAGTACGCGTCGAATGCCACTTGACCATGAAACACCTCACATGGCCTGGAATCCAGCTGTCGGCGCTGTATGTCCTCCGACATTTCCCAATGGCCATGCACCAGCCAGCGATACAATTGTCATGCAACAGCGTGGCATGTCAAACCATGACACTTCAATGCACCTCCATCATCAGCTGTTCCTGGTTCACCTTCAACTTCTCCATTTCCTTCAGCACATCCTGAGAGCGCCGTGTTTGATCCAGGCGCTCACTCTTGGGTCAAGCACATAGCCAGGACGGCCTGCCAAAGCGAGTCGTACTTCTTTACCACCTGGTCTTCCACCACCTCGCGGCCAACAGCATGTTGTCGAAGCCAGGAGCTGCATGTGAAGCACGTAGGACTCAAGAGGAAAGCTGCCTGCTGACGCTCCCGCACATCCACGCAGGTTTGCTCGACATTCTGCAGAGTGTCCTGCACTCTCTGACTTCGCCATACTTTGCCTGCCTCTACTTGGCATACTGCGTGGTGTCTGCACGACCTGGTTGGTCTTGACAGTGGATGCGGCATCATCACACTTCCTGTCGAGTGCGTTGCGAAGCACCACTGCCGTGCACGGTGTGGATGTTGCAACTGCCGCTTCTCTCGTGATGGAGTAGCAGCAACTAAGAACTAGACCCGTGCAGTTCGGAATCGGCCTTTCAATGTCGCGTAGCGTTTCCTCACACTTGTCAGTGCGGGACTTCGAAGAAGCCACCGTCTTCCCTTAGATCGTGGCCCCATCCCACTGACACCAAACGTTTATAACGTTTACGATTGCAGCCGGGGAGATCGCCGTGGTCCTCCATCTTGGCGAGGATTTTCGTTAATTCCTATGGGCAGTTGATCTGAATAAGAAAGCACACAGCCCCAGTGCAGTGTCCCAGTCCTCAGCAAAGCCATCCACCTGCACAAACCGTCTCAGAACTCTCGCAGCTGCCCTGATGCATTTGACGCATCCCATCTCGGCTTTTGGCAGCTCATCGGCCTTGGTCCGAAGCTGGACGAGGCCTGCCAGACCTTCCGTGTCGTTCTCGTGCCGGTCCAACCGGTCCTCCGGCTTACGATCCTACGATATCCTACGATATCCTACGCTTACGCCCACGTCGCGTGCACCCATCCCCAAGGGGCTCAAGCCTTGACTTCCTTGATGGAAGCTTCTAGGTCCGACTTCGTACGGGCATCCAGCGCTTCGAGATCGGTCTTTTGCCTGCAAGCACGGGCCCCTCGGGTCGAAACCCCGACTAGTCGCAACTGGAGAGCCCGGTGCGTCGCCTGTCCACGTCCTCGCGGAGCTTCTCCGTCTCTCGTCCGCGCTCTGCGACATGGCCAGAGACCTCCTGAAGGAGAACGAGACGGGGCACCGCCTTGCTGTCCAGAACTTGAGCCTCTCCTCGAAGGCCTGCTTCAGTTCGTCGAACCGCTCATCCTCAGAATCACACTGTTGGTTGACTGGGCAGAGCTTCGGCCGTCACGCGAGACGGCATCATGCCTGCTTCTTGAGCTGCTCCGAGACATCTTGTAATTCGTTTTGAATCGCTGCCTGTGCAAGATTTTGCAAGTTCGATTCGTCTCACCATGTCAATGAAGTCTTCCAAAGGAAAGGATAAAGCGCAATGGCGGCCGCCTTGATGACATCATCGATACTCGACATGAGACTTGGAGCTTGAGCTTCCGAGTGTTTTTGTTTAAGGTGTGCATCTTTCGTCTGTGGAATTCTGCCCTTCTCGGCTTCCTAGCATGCTAACAGCTAAGCACCTAAGCGGCTAGGACCGATACGTCACAACATATTTGCACCGCAGCACATCGCCATCATGGGCAACATGGCAACTGAAAGCCAGGAGGTTTCAACGGCATTTGCACAGAGCTGCTGCAAGTTTAAAGTTTACACCACAGAAACAGACATGACGCAGCATAGCAAATGTTCTTCCAGGGCTGCGCTGTTCTGTGACTCGAAACAGCCTCAACCGCTCCGGCTCTTCGGGGCGGGCGACTCTGCTGCTGCAGATGGCTCGGGACTCAGGATGACTCAGGACATGAAGTTCTGCAAATCGCTCAGAGCCCCGCAGCAGCATTCTGTCACCAGCAAAGGTTGCACCAAGCGGGTTGTCTCCCTCTGAGGTGCACAGTTTGTGTGCCCCTCAGCGTGCAACAAGCACAATGACCCACTCAGAGATCATCGTCAGTTCCGTCACAAGTGATGGTTTACAGCAAGAGATGACGTATGAATAACACAACGCTGCCACAGCACGCTAGAGATACATGCCTTCGGGGTACGACCCCTTCTTTTTGTACAATGCTTTCTCCTTCGCCTTCCTCATGTCCGCCTGCCAACACAACTGCAAGATCAAAAGCAACATGACGGCGCCATCTGGGCTTACTTGTCTTCGACAGGTCTTGCCTGCGTCACTTTCATGCGACGTTCACGGAGGGCGAGCATGCCAGCTTCTGTGCATATCGCCTGGACGAGAAGCAGAACGGAGCATGCTGCACATGGAGGAGCCCGTTGGTGAACTCAGTCAGACATGCCCCAACTTGACGTCTCACCTTGATGTCTGCCCCACTGAGGTCATCCTGGCATCAGTCTACAATACCGCAACCTGGTCGACGTTCTCAAAAGTTCCGCCTTCGCAACGACAAACTCCTCCAGGTTGACATCATCCGCGAGGGTCATCTTCCCCCTTGGCTGCAGTGCTCCAATCGGGCTACTGATCTGAGCCTGCATTAAAACGCTTCTCGGGACCAGACGTGTGGATCTGGAAGATACGTCGCTTGGTCTTTTCGTCCGGCAGCGGAAACTCTATCTTTCGATCTATTCGGCCTCTGCAGCTCACACCATCAGCATCCAAAGCGCACAACGAACACTCACACTGTGCTGGCCTGGTCGGATCATGGCGGGGTCCAGGGACTCCATCCTGTTAGTGGCCATGATCACCTGCAGTAGCTCTGAGTGGACGTGCACCCGACTAACTCAGTCCAAACCAACCTTGACGTCGCCACGGTCATCGAAGCCGTCTAGCTGATTCAATAGCTCCAACCTTTAGAGAGGCCGATGCAAGGCCCCGGGTTCTTGACTTGAACATTGCAGCAAAGGGACATGGTGCGTTGAATTTCCTTCTCGCCGCCACTTGTAGTATCGTACCTTGCCGGATTGCCCAAATCAGGGCCGACTATCCTGCTTGGTTGGAACCCGAATCGCGAACCGATGAACCCGAGAACTAACCCAGCGCACCGCTTCGTGGCGACGGCGTCGATTTCATCGATGAAAATGATGGAAGGGGCATGCTCTTGCGCAACGCGAAACATTTCCCGGACCTGGCATCTATGAGGCTACTACTTGTAGCACAGCAAAGATGGTAAGATCTCTCTGCCAGCTTCTCGCTCAGCACACAGCACTCGCGCAGTGAAACAGGAAGATGCACCAGCTTAGGTCCCTCTCCAAGATACTTCTGAATCAGCTCGCTGCCGACCTTGGTTGTGAAAAGCAGACAAAGGCCAAAATTTGCTGGGCACAAAGCCTTGTAAGGCCTGGACCACTCGCAAGAAAGTTGCAGACGTCTCGCTTGCAACAGCCTCTCACAACAGAATGAATCAGCGCGGGCTGCTTTGCAGCACCCCGGCCTTGGCCAACAGTGTCTTTCCGGTCCCTGGCACACCGTACAGGATGACCTCAGGTTACCGAAATCACTTGTGCCACAGAACCTTTGACGAGCGATCAAAGCGATGCGAGCTTGCAGTCATGATGCGCCCTTAGGCGGCTTGATGCCAACATCCTGAACCGGGCCATGGAGCTGCAGCTGCTGTGACAGATACAGAAACCTGACGAGCATGCCTCATAGAGCTCTGGGTGCGTCAGAGGCAGCTCAACTGCCTCAATAGATCACGAAGAATGGAAGCGTGACTCGTGTGACTTCAGACATCAGGCTGGCCTCCTTCATCTCCTGGATCTGCTCCTCCAGGCCACCAATGTCTCCGTAGGACTCCGTCGGTGCCTTTCACGGGCAAGGCATCACAAAATCACGCCATGCAGCCATCCGAGCCTTGTCCACCTTCATGACGCTAACGAGCGGGTTCACCTCGTCCACCAAAAGGCCGATCACACCTCGTGCCGCGATTTACAACACCCTGCAGTCCTGACAGACGTCCTGAGAACAGCTGAGAACCACTGCTCAAATTCTTGTGGTGCATGAGGATAGAAGAGCCAGGCTCCAACTGATCCTGTCATGCCAAGCAATGGGATCTCTGCAAAGCTGCTGCAGGACTTCGCAACCTTGTCCACGAAGGAAAGGATGTTCACATAGTACCTGAAGGCATTCCCGCACGAAGGATGCATTTTCACTGTCTGAGCAAATCGCGCACTCAGGGCCCATAGCCGTTGACACGATGCAGTGATTCCTGTCACGATCGTCGGGCGGGAAGGATCTCAGCTCAGCGGCTCGCACGGCTCAGCTCGTGGCTCATCGATAAATTCTTCCAGCGAGCCGACATCCATCGGAGTCCCGCGGATGTCGTCGAGCTTGGACCTGACGAAAAGACACGAACCTGCCAGCTCTCGCGGTCTCGCTCGCTCTGCACGAGCGCTTCAGTATCCAACTTCTCGTCTGATTCCTTGTCTTCTTTCGGCTTCAACCGCTGCTGCTCCTGCCCACGATAAACCCGTCCCTGCCACATCTTAGAATCTTCAAGTGCCAGGAGCGTGGTGTCCTGGATAAACTCTTCCTCCATCATAAGGTAATCCTGAAAGGGGCGGCAGAAAGAGAAAAGAGCACAGCCGTGGAAGCCACTGACACGCCCTGGCCCAGCCTTCACTCGATCGTGCTTCAGAAGTCGCAGCCGGCACCTGAGCTTCCCAAAGTGCTGGTCCCAAATGAAAGAATCGATCATCGATGACCGGGAGATGATGAACAACGAGCTCCGCCGGCTGAGTTGAGCTATGTAGTGGGCGAGGTTGCATCTTCTTCATGTTCTTACGGCCAGCGTCGTTGCTCCTGACCCGATTCACTTTCAGAGGCTTTGGCTTGCTTGGAGTCTCGAGGCGAACGTGCCTGGCCTTTGTTGTCATTGCTGCTCATTTGCGTTTCGATACGTGCGCAAAGCACATTCCGAAGTGTGTCTCCTCCCTGTCCCCTTTTCATGGTGAGCTGTGCATCGAAACGAGGCGTTGCAGAACGAAAGACAACTGAGTCTGGCTGTAAGACTGATATGCATGCTTGTGATGCTACGTGTTGCTGCTACAGTAGAGCTTCTTCAATTTCTGGCTGTGTCCAGGCTTTCGCTGCAAACCAAGTTGGAGTCCCCAATTCCGGGTCAACCCCCCCATAGCGTGTGTAGTCTCACCCTCGAGCAGCGAGCACGAAGGAATCTGATGCGTGTTGGGCGGAGTCGGTGCTTACTCCCTACAGTACAGGGATGTTTGGTCTGAAGCTTCCTTACGTAAGTCTTCCACCAGACTGCTCCACAGAGTCACATGTCATCTGCTCGGCTTGCCTTCTTGGCAGGCATTTTTGGGCAGACTCTTGTGTGCTCTGATAGCCAGGGCGCTCCAGAACACTCTCATTGCAAGGATGAAGAGCTATGGCAGCTCTTGATCTGAGGGACATCCTTGCCGGAGGAGAACCTTGCGCCTCATCACCATTAGTCAATACACGTGCGTCGCGTGGCGGGGGTTGTTTTTCTGTTTTTTTTTCTGACCTGTCTTGATTTCTTCCAATCAGTGCTCCTCTTCCCTCTCCTCTTCTGCGTCAAAACGCCTGCACTATAGCTCCCTATTGATCACATTCACCTCTCTCGCTTGCTGGAGACTTCCCCAATTCGAAACTATCGCCAAAGTCGAGCGGCTTCGAGGTTGGTACGACTGAAGGGAGCTTGCTGGCGACCTGCCGCATGCCATAAAAAAAGATGCCGAGAGTCGACAAGGGCCAGGCCAAGACGACGAGAGACCATGGCGTCGCACCGTGCCTGCGCTCCCTTCATCTTCCTCTTCTTTCTGCCGAAGTGGGAGGGTGGTGCCAGCGCCTGACAGAAACCAAGCCAGCTCAACAAAGCAACAGGGAGCCGGGGCGCAACTCTCTGAATAAAAATCGATGAGTGACATTCTTAAAGTGCCGCCTCGTGCTTCTTCTTCTTGTCATCCCCATCTTTCTTCTCTTTGTTAGCACCCTGGCCTTGTCCTGTTCCGACGACAGCTTGGAAACGGCGCCACGATCTGTCCCTCAACAGGCCTCCCCCGGCACCCGGCATTCCGCCGGGAGTGTTTCCCATGGCTGTCCTGAAGCAGCTCAGACTGCGTCTGACGGCGATGGCACAAAGCTTTCCGGTGACATGTGCACACTGGCCTTCTGCTTACCCCCAGCCAGCCCCTACTGAATTTATTAGCTGTCCTTGAGCCAATCCCTGCAAACAGCCCAATCAACACGCATGGGACCAGCTTCGCTTCGGTTGCGTACGTCTGCTTGCTGTTACACTTTTGCCCACTCTCGGCTGACATGATCAAGGCAGCCGGCGTCAGGCGGCAATGAGGACCTCGTGATGCCAGTGCAGGCGGCCTTGCATCCCCGAGCAACAACTCTGAGAAACGGGCATTGCTCGCAGTACTGGAAGGCAGCCTGGCAGGACACGAGAAGCATCCTCTCCTCCGTCATGGTCAAAATACGGGGCTTCTCCACTTCCGAACAAACAGTTTGCCTCGTGCTTGCCTGTAGAAAACACCAACACGAAAGCGACAAGCCATGCCAGACTGACCCCAAAGTCAGATTTCTGAAGCCTTCGCTGCAACAAGACGCGGGCCTGCAGCTCGGTGGAATCTTGCTTCTCTAATTCGTAGATTGCGACAGCATGATCCTTTCCAAATCTTCTGAGTGCGTAGCAGCCTGGAGCCTCATGCCAAGGTCAGCCACTTCCTGCTTCGAATCGGCCGAGCACAAAACGATGTTGCACTGCAACGACTTCCGTTGAACAGCGCGGCACCGCTGACTGTTGGGACCTCATGCAGCTCCATTGAGGACGCTTCGAGCTCGGCCACTTGTGCTTGCATTGTCTCGATGTCCTCTGGAGCCTGAACGATGCATTTGACATGCCAACAAGTCGCAGTCATTGTTCCTTTGCGCAAGTCTTGCCGGGACAGTGATCAAGCTTGAAAGTCATTCTTCAGGTCTGACGTGGCTCGTGGCTGTGTCGCTACTGTAACCTCCTTCGAGCTCACCTTTCTCGCCTCTAAGGGACTGGTGGCCCGGCCTTGCCTCCTCGGGCAGATCTGTTAACAGACACCCTCATTTCCCACCTTTCGACTTGGGGAAGTTCTTTTTGAAACCCTGATCGCTTCTCGGACTTTTGCAACCGAGTTGCACCCCGTGCTGAAGTATGGCAGATTTACACAGTACGGTGGCATGTCTGAAATCCGAGCAAAGCCGTGCTTCGTGGAACCGCACAACGTCCAAATGCCTCGGCATCCCAGATTGTGGTCTTGGTCTGCTGCAGTCTCGATATCTCTTCTTGGACGAGATCGAGCTCCGCCTGCAAAGCATTTGTTGTGGAATCCAGCCGCTGCAAGAACCCCTGTCCCTGGCCTGCAGCTTGAGGGTCTCCCTCCAATCGACAAGAAGCCTCATGCGAGGCGAGGCGTGCGCTTCATCGGGGGTAGCTTACACTTCGCCGCGAGCCTGGCCTTGAGGGCAACGGTAGCAAGGATGCTCCAGGAGCGAAGTTCTCTCCTCATGCTCGCAAGAACGGCAGTGAACTTTCCACGGGCCAAAGCCCGATCTGCGCCGATTCGCTCCTCCTCCCGCTTCTACATTGGCTTCATTGCTAAGAAGACTGGTGCAGTACTCGGCTGCAGCCCGAAGCTTGGCCTTTGTAGAGCCACGGAAGTTGCAAAGCCTCCTTTTGAGTCAAGCTGTGATCCCTGCCGCACCGTCCTCAGCTGCTTTGTGCTCCTTGCGATGAGACTCGTTGGATACTAACACGAGGGATCGCGCTGAGGGGACACATGCACAAGCAGGAAGTCTGCCAGAACAGTCCTCATGGACCGCTCTTTGCCCCGCAGTGATCTCTTCCTTCATCTCTTCTGCCTTTCAGATGGCCGCATGCTGCCGTTTCCGCAATTTTTGCAAATCCAGCGTGACCTTCCGATTCCTTTCAGCCACATCTCTTCGATTCTGCATTTCGTCCTCAACTGCCTGCACGGTCTGTCGCAATCTACTGCCTGTTGCGCATGGAACTTTCGGATGGTTGGCCTTGAGCTTGCTGCGGAGTTCTTCCACGGTGTTGGCAAGCACGATGTTAGCCTGCCGTCAGCTGAAAATCGTGCGATTTCACTCCAAGGCAAAAAGGGCTGGGCAAGTCGCCTGGGACACGTTGGCCAGCTGTTCCGTCCCAAGTCCCTCCAAGTTTAAGTTGGGACCTCGCCGTGTTTTCGTGGCCCATCGGTGCGGGCAGTCGCTAGCTAGGCTCGCGACTCTGACTCCAGGCTTTCCGCATTGCATCTCTCCGCTGATGCGCCGCCTGAAGTTGCTGGAACCCCAGCTCATCAACGAAGCCTACTGATACTTGCAGAACACCACTTGGGGCCACTTCAGCGAAGCCTGGCTCTTGGCGAGCTCGAGGGCAGCGTTCTCGGCGCAGGCGCTCTGGGAAAAACGGTCCAGCGCTGCGAGCTGTTCTTTGGCTTCAGCGCGGAACGCATCCTGCATCTTCTTGCGGTCAGCTTCCCACTTTTGGATCATCGCAAGCCCCGTTGCGCGATCGTTGCCCTTTAGCTCTAGAGAGTACAGGTCGCCTTTCAAGGCAATGATGTCCAGTGGCTTCTCTCCCGCTTGGCCGCCGTAGCCGTGCCGGCTTAATGCTGCTTGAACTTGTGGTTCCAGTCCGGAGTCACTGGCTTCAGCATGCACTTTCGACCAGAACTTTCCAGAATCGGTGCTCCCATGTAGACCTTTCACAGCTTCTATCAATCTTCCTGCCTGGGCCCTGACTCTGGCCTCAAGCTCCAGTGGGTCTCTTTGCTGCGCTACACCTTGCACAGACTTGCGCAGCTTGCCTTGAGCTTCACGGAGCTGTGCTTGACCTTTCACCAGCTGCTGGTGTACCTGGTCTTTGGCTTCCTTCAGCTTGCCGATTTGAACCGCGTGTGCTTCCGATGTGGACTTGGTCCACTTGCTCACATCCTCTTGGAGCTCAGAGAAAGCGCTGGCAACGCCTTTCCCTTCATTAAGGATGGAGTCCTGCTTGGATTTCTGGATTGACAGACGCTGGTGTAAGTCCTTCACGACCTTCGCCAATCGATCGACCTCGCCGCTCTTGATGCTCAGACGGTGTTGAAGGTCATCCACGGTGATTGCTGGAACACCATGTTTACTCGTTGGCAGAGCAGCCACCTGCTCATGAAGCTGGAGTCTGGCAATCTGCTCCTGCTCCTTAATCGCACTTTCCAACTGACGCCGATGAACGTCCAGCGAGCTGTTTTCTTTTTGGAGTTGGTCTGCACGCTGGACGTAGCCTGCAAGCACGTTGCTGAGTGCTGCGGCTGTTTGCAGCCCTGGTGCCCAGGCCTCCGCTTGGGAAGACTCGTGACTCTCTGAACTCTTCAAGGCACGCTTGGCACCCGCAATCTCCAGTTCAGCCGCAGTGCACGCTGCTTCAAGCTCTTCCTTGCTTTCTGGAAATGTGACCACATCTGACACCTTCCTTCGCAACTCTGCAGGTGGCTCCCGCCAGTAGCGATGACTGTAGCAACTCTTGCATAACAGCTCCCCGTCTGCTTGGAAGAGGTCAGCTGCACTCTTGTGACAGGACGAACACTGTGCAGCGGCATTGGTCAGAAGGGCATCTAGGGCATTCGTCGCCAGCTCCTCGGACTTCTCCGGACCAAGGCAGTACCTTAAGGCCTCAATCATAACGTCCTGCCTGCCAAGTTCGTTTTGGAGGCGCTTAAACTGGCCGGTCCTGTTGACTTCTTGCCCACGCTTTCGAAGCAAGAGGTTCTCTTTCTGCAGCTTCTGGATAGAAGTCATCAAGGAGTTAACCTTCGAAGCTTGCAGTCGATTCGATGCGGCAATCCTCGCTTCCCAGTCATGTCGCAGATCCTGTCTCTCCACAAGAGCTTCAGAGTGGAGAGCATCTGCAGCATCTGCCGTGTCGGGAGCAGCTTGCTCTGCCATGGCTGAACAGGACACCCGCATCACACGCTCGAACCAAAGGGCCCGTGCATCATCGTCGACCGTCCAAGCCGATGCATCAATGCCACATCCCCTTCAAGGCTTCTCCATTCCTGTTTTGCTGCCATCGAGCGTGCCAACTGGGAGCTGGCTGGTCTGCGAGCTGTTCGGCCTGCTCAGAAGCAGTTGATCGAATGCAACCGCACAGATGGGGAACGCAGCATCTCGACAAAGATCCTGACCTTATTGCACCTCTGCAGAGAGACCCGCGACGGCAGACGTCTCCTGCACCCAGTCACAGGCACCCTGGCACTCGAAACTTTTCGACAAGTTATCGCGGCCTCCATCCATCCAGGCCGGTTTCTGGCGTTGCAGTCCTCATCCGCACGTTCAGCGGAGCTGCTGCTGAGCAGGCACTGCATAGTCGGAAGCACAAGACTAAGATTGCACAGGCCAGGGCTGACATCACCGTGGCCTCGGTTCTCGTTGCTGATCAGGCTTGTTCGTCTAGTTCGATAGATGCTCTCTCTCCAGATTCATCCGGGGCAAGCACATAGAGCCTTTCAAGCCGTGCCACATGTCTCGGACCGTCACATAGGACCGACCTTTCGACAGATGAAAGACTGCAGCAAGTCGAGAAGCAGGATGAAGCAGGCATGTGGCCATCATGCATGCTGCCTCTGCATGCGCGTTCGCAGCCCAGCTCGCAAAGCTGCGAGCCGGGCGACATTTCGAGCACATGCACCCGCCTGGCAGACCGACAACTGCGAGGTCCAAGAAACCATCTCTCCTGGGAACCTCGGACCTGCTTGACGAACTCCTCTTCTGTCTCTGTGACCAGGTCCTTCGTACCACTGTTCGAGGCAGGGAAACTCGAAATTACCCGCAGCAAGCTCGGGCTGGAGCACTGAGCTGGACGGCCGAAAGCAAGGAAGCCCCGACATTCTGTGCCTTGGTCAGGTGCATTGCCTCCATTTTGTCATGCCCAGAACAACCAGTCTCAATCAAGTAAAAGGCAAAAGAGCTCTTGGATTGCCGGTCAACTAGTTGAAAAGATGTGGCGAGGTTGTTCGGTGCCACTCGCATGAACATCAGTGAATGGGAGCTATTGCAGCACGACCCTGCCACCTTGATGTGTACAGAATCGCTGAGCAGGGAGGCGGGCCCGGCCATTGGTAGGCAGATTTTCCAGAGAGTCTGCTGTCATTGTGCAAGCAGAGAAAAGTCAGACAGTGCTGCCTATTTTTTGAGGAGATGTTCGCACCAAGCACCCGGCATGGATGCCTCGACCCTTCAGAGTCACCACAGGCACCCCCATGTACAGAGCCTGCACCACATGATTTGAAAAGCTGGGAATGTAAAGTACGACCTGCCACTGTCTTTTGGGCACAAGCCTCACATGTCGTGGTGGTTCCAGCATACGGCGCCGTATCCAGAGCCACATCAATGAAGCCTCAGTTTGCAACAAGCAGAATCGCTCGATGCTTTGCGATCTGCGTGTGTCTCTCACACGAAACTACTGCATATGTTCAAACCGCTGTGGCAAGCTGCTGTACATGTGCAGGTGACTTCCCGTTTGAGGTTGCAATCCTGTCCTCGGCTCTCAGGACAAGGACAAGCCTGCATGCGACATGGAGCAGCCACAGTTTACAGTAGAGCTCCCGGCAGATCCAAGCGAGCAGCTGCGATGCCATGCCTCGTAGGTCGTCGGCTAATGAAGTCTCCGACCGTCATAGAAAGCGAACAGCTGAGCATAGCCGAGCTGCATTGCAAAAGCTCTCCGCATCTTCTCTTGGACTTTGGGACATGCGAGAGCCTGCCAAACGGAACACGGAGCAGACACTAAAGGCTCTCACCTTCTCAACTCACGTGAGGCGCAGTTTTACGAAGTGCGACTCGAGAAAGCTATCAGGAAAGAGGTGCACCTTCGATTTGACGAAGAGTCTGGCATCCGGCACCTGCAGGGACACGAGGGAGGGAGGTGCGTGATTACACCGTGTTTTCGGAGTTGCACTGCACCGTGCAGCAGCCTCATGCAGGACTTTGCTCCAGAGTCTGATGGTCAACGTGCTCACCTGTCGGGGGACGAGCACTGGCTGCAAGTCACACTAAGCTAAAACACCGGTGCAGAGACCTCTTCGCTTCACACACTGGAGAGAGAGTGGGGAGGGGAAATTCGCCTTGGCCAAGTTGTTGAAGCAGCCGAAGGTCACGCAGCCGTAGCTCTCCTGAGCCGGCCTCGCAGGTGCGCCAGGCGCTGAGCTGAGGGAAAGTTGATTGAATGCACTCTCCGCAGAGTTCTCGCTCGCCCTGTCCTCTCCTTGTCTCTCTACCACACGCCTGTTTTTATGCTGCAGCCGAGCCACTTCAAGAGCACCGGAGGCGCCGACTCCGGAGGTGTGTAACACAGGAAGCACTCCTGCAACGACACATCAGCCCCGAAGTGCTGGCAACTACCCTCACTCTGTAGTACCAGAGTACAACACGTTATCCCCCCCGGTCCGGCAAGTAGAGGAGCTTCTCTGTGGTCAGGCCTTGTCAGGACAGAGCTCACCAGAGTCAACTGATTGGCTCTGGGTCTGTCTGCGGAGTCTGCAGACCGGCAGAGGCAGCTTCGTGTCGGCTTTTGTGCACGTCTGCCCTGAAGCCCGGGTCTGAGCCCGCGGGTCTGACAGCTGTTCTGTGATGCGAGTCCAGATTCGGTGGCGAGTTCGCAAAAACAGCCCAGCCCGGACACAAGGCAACCGTGAGATTTGCAACATGCCCCAACTCTCAATAAAGCTGTTCAGCAGCAGAGAACAGCGGCCATGCAGAGCTGCAAAAAGACAGCGCCCAGTCCAGGGCCAACGGCCAATGTGACACATGTGGGAGAAAGCAACGTTTCTGCGGAGTTTGAAGCAAGAACACGCATTCGCTCGAAAGCATGACATGCAAGAGCGGCCTGGGGACAAGAAATCAGTGTGGCAACAGAACGGCTGTAGCCCGAACAGAACGGCTGTAGCCCGGGGACGACACCGGGCGCGTCCTTCGGGTCGGCGTGCCTCAGAGCCGTCAGAACCCAGGTGCACCGCACTGCAGGGGTCATGCATGGTCATGCAGTCGGGAAGCTCATCGGAGATTCTGTAGTCCATCCGAGACAGCCCAGTCGTGTGAGGGTAGCCCAACCATGTGATGCAGACCTGCCACGATGCTTTCTGCATATTCATTTTCTTCGCACTGTGCCGTCCCAATCATGCCAGAGCGACCGGAGCAGGTTTGCAGGCAAACACACCAAGCCTGTTGTTGCCGGTGTGGCCAGTCAAGTCTACGAGAATGTCGATGCCATCCTGGCAGGAAGTGGACAGAGCAGGAGTGAGCCACGGCTGAGGGTTGCTGGGCTGCAGGCTTCCCAGATGAGCTTGGCGACCTTTGCATGAAGCTGTGCGGGGAGAGCGTCTCTCCAGCTTGGAAGCGGTGCCTCTTCATCTCTGCGACCGCAAATGTTCCTCCATCGAGGAACGAGGCTGCGGAAGTGGCGGGTTTTATCATCCTCCAGGACGACGTCACTGTAGCCTCCAGCAGATCATTTTCTGCGGTGTGCGCGTGCCCTGACGCGCAAACCCAGCCCTGAGTATCCTGCATACAACGTCGACAAAGGCAGGATCATGGTACTTGAGCGCTGCGTGGATAAAGTAAGAAACCTTGGATTCCAGGGAAGCGGAGCGACAGGATAAAATAGACCGCATCAACATCAACCGAACACTACTCCTCAGACAGCCGCGGAGTGCGAGTAGAAGTCGGGAGAGACGTAGCCCACACGTAAAGGAGCAGCGGTTCCCTTCTGTGCATGGTCCCACCGGTAGAAAGCCTCGGTTCGGTCGGACAGTTTAGTGGAACGTCTTCTGTTTCATCGCCCATCCCCCGGCCTGCCCGACCCTCTGCTCCAGGCACCTGCCCCAGCTTCGATGCGCCTCGGGCGATGTCACAAGGCACATTGTGCCAAGCCAGCAACACGGTGGCCTCAAAGACCTCTTCTGGCAGTCTTTCGGACTGGTAGTTCAGAGACATGAGGCGGTTGGAGCCTGCATGCCGGTTCCTGCCGAGGCATCGGACATCATCGGACGCAGCGCACACAAACGAAGAGAATCTCGTCTGCCGAGCGACTCCGGCTCCAGACCTGCGGGCACAGGCCAGAATGGACGACGAATTCGACGCCGCTGCCCCGTGAGGTTTTGACTGTCTCGGGACGTTTTAAGCTGTCTGTGCAGGCCCAGGTGCTTATGCAAAGGTCAAGGTTCTCGAGACAAGCGTCGACGTCCTCGACAGCCGGATGCGCGAAATACATGTGTGAAGAGCACGAAGTCATGCACATGTTTTTGCTGCCCGAATGCACATTGATCTCGGAGAAGGAGGGCCAAATTATTGTAGGCCTGCACACGTCGGGGTCAGATCTCTGGCTATTTCCTCGGAACCGTCATCCTGTCGTGTCCTGTCAGCGGTGGGGAGAGGCCTCTGCGTCCTGCCGACTGGACTCAATGGCCACTCTCGTGAGGCAGATGGCATCCGCCTCAGGAATCGCACGAGCAGACATAGGTGTTGGGGATGGATACTGCGTACACAAATTTGACCAAACTCTTCCATGCAAAGTTGGCTGGAGCAATCCATTTGTCAGCCATCAGCAAGACATTATAGGCCCCAGCCCCAGCGTGCCGTCGTTTCACTGGACCCGCCATGCGTGCTCGTGGGAAACAACAGCACGGCACCAGCAATGTCAAAGGTCGGAGCGCATAGCAGCGACTGCAAATCCGGCATGTCATAGTGTCGGCAAGAAGACATGACAGCCGCACACATTCTGACGATTTCTGACGATCGTTCTCCGACTTACGCCACTTGGAGCTATCTTGCAGCGATTTCCACGGGAGCAGTTGCGGGTGGATCTTGTGGCGAGATACGCAATATGGGTAGGCATGCGCTTACTTCGGGAGTTCGCTTCGGAACACCAGTCGCAACGGGGATGTGTGATGGGATTTGGTGGCGCTTTTTCTCTTGACGGGGTCGGATCATGTTCCTATCCCGGTGCGACAGCGACAGCCAGCCCTGCCAGTCAGTGATGTGCAATTCTTGGGCCTCGAACATGGAATCATGATGTATTTCTTTTCGGGGCAACGATCCGTGGTGGACACCTCCACTGCTCTTATGCCAGAACTATGTCGAGCTTGATGGCGTTGCTGCGGCCTTGTTGCTTGACATGCCCCCTCGTTCACTCCATGCTGACTTCCTTTGTGCCGGTCATCTTGACCGAGTGGGCCTATCATTCACAGCTGATTGTGCTCCGGTGTTCGGCTTTGAGCTGACAGCTTCATGCACAACTTCTTGACACCCAGCGTTCATTTGCCCTGATGTCTGCACACAAGGTATCAATCGCCTCGAAGTTTGTTTAGATGCCCAGCACAAGCAACATGGAGTCTAAGCCCGAAATGAACGAATTTTGGAATGAGACGGAGCCAGATATGCAGCACACACTATGCGAGTGCTGTAATTCGTGTCAAGAGCACCATTCGGCCCATGGAGCCGTAGATGGCCCCGAGATTCTTGTTGGCGAGGTTCATCTTGCTGTCCACCTGAAGGATAGGCGAGACCGAGCACCAGGAGACCCGAAGATGTGAGAAAACACGGCAGCCCACCTCGAGCGCGCTCTCGAAGCACTTCATGGCTGCCTCGACGTTGCCGAGACGCCTTGAGACTTCAACCCCGCGACTGGGTTGAGTTGCAGACCATACCAACTATGTCACATGTCTTCAAAAGCTGTCGAATCGGTCCGGTCAAGCCTAGCCCCTAGGACAAGCAGATCGGCTGCATTTGGAGCGGATGACATCCAGCCGTCGCAGAATCCATGCTTGCAGTCTGAGTCTTTCAGCTACTGCAAAATCCTGTACATGAACTGCTGCGGTTGGTATAAACCCAACAACGCTCCAGTTCTCAGCAACAGCAGAACCGCTATATCCAAGATGATGATAACAAACCGCACACCCACTCGTAGGCTTGCACCTCAAACAGAGGTACTAGAAACCAGAGGCTGCTTTGCGGCCCCAGAGCTAGGCTCCCAACTTTGAGGAGCAGCAACACTTACCCTGTTACAGGAAGGCAAGTGACATCAAGGAAAGCTCTTTAAACTCACATGACCTCACAAGCGTCCATGGTGCAGCCCCGCTCTGTCTTCAAGTCCGTCTCCTCAAGGGTCGGTTAAGTGCAGTCGTCTACAATGCAAGTAAGGAACATAAAGACAAAAACTCCAAACGCCTCTCGATGAGTAGTCAGTACCTAAACTATCCTAAACTCATCCAGGACTCAAAGGTGCGGGGTCGATGGACAGCTAGACGGGATGCCAACTCGTGGCTGCTGGCATGCATGCAGGAGCGCGGTAGCCTCAACGGCGCAAGGAAGGCTCCACTCGAAGAAGGACAATGGCAGAATGCAGAGCTTTTTTTAGACAAGCCACGAACATCTGATCGCTTCACCTTGCTTCACTTCCCATGGAAAAATTCTCGCGAAGCATGCCGGCTGGCTCCTAAGTTCATGGCCTGTCTCGGGAAGATGGCGGGCTTCACTTTTCGAGGGAATCATCGAAAGGCGTTCCACCTGCGCTTCAGAGCTCAACGTGACGTACCTGCATGCTGCCATGACCCGAGCCTCCAACAACGCAGCTCGTCCGGATGGCCGATGAGAAGCCGAGGTTGTCGATCCAGCCGAAGAGGCAGGTGGCACAGAAGCTACTCTCTGTGCTTCCCACTCTTTCGCCGCTTCCGTAAAGGACCTTATGTGGCCATGCAGTAGGGCAGGCAGGTCGTGTGGACTAGAAGCTCCGGGCCCAAGACGTGGCCCAGGCATCGCTTGGATTCCCAGTGAGCAGGCTGGGGAGGTCCATAGTGGCTTTCTCTGAACTCCGACATGTGCTGTCTCTATTTCCAGCACCAGGCTGCGACCGACTCTCCATGGCGAGCAGTATAAACGCACTGCTGAATTATGCTGATAAGCAGAAACCCAGTGTGACTCAACAGATACATGAAGCTGCAACAAGCAACATCTGCAGGCAGTGTCCGCCTGTGAATGACGCCCAGGTTGTTGTGGGCATTCGCATGTCTTGGATCAAAATGAATCGCGAGCTCGTAGTTGACCTGATAGACTTGGGCTGACTTTTCACGCGAGTGCCCTGAGCAAGCCTGCCTTCGCTTGGTCCCACTTCTCTTTTTCAGCATAGAGCACGCCCAGGTTAAAATAGAGGTCGGCATTCCTGATCGAAAAGGCTGTAAAGGTTACACGACTCCCATTAAGGCCGCGCCTGGAGTTGAAGGACAGTCCTTGTTTCAGGGCTTTGGAAGCTTGTTTTAGCTCCTGACAGGCGCACACGGGCTTACGGACCAACGCAAGAACCTATCCCGGGCCTTTCCCTGCAGGTGCCGACAGCCCAGTTGCAGCAATGCAATGGCCATGTTTTCCCGGGTCTTACTGCAGTTCTGGTTGACCTGACATGGGATTCACAGGCACGGAGTGGTCACGCGACTGCAACACTTGGAAGGAACACTCTCCTGATCGAGATTCTGGTGCCGTGCAAGTAGAAGGGGGGGTGGTGAAGAGGTGAGCCATCTGCTGCTTCACATGCAACACGTCAAAGCACGATATGCAAAATGTGTTCGCACGAAAGACAGAAACAGCATGCATGGCCCCATACCAACCGACTTGCTGGAATCCCGATTCGGGCCTTCTGCTAAAGCAGTGTCGGTACAATCATGCCTCTTCTGTTTGCTGAGATCGGCAGTTGTGTAAGCTGCTTCAAAAACATATCTGAGCGGTGTAACGGTGTAAGCATTTGCACCGTGGCACAGAAGCATCGGCAACTTCATGATCCAACACGCACTACACCGCTACACCGCAATGCACGACACACCAGCCCATGCACGAACCCTGCCTTCAGCGCTAAAGCGTAGGCCTCTACTGCGTGATCCCACTCGCCAAGCTCCCTAGTCAGGAGATTGGCACATGCGAACTTGGTGTACTTTACGTTGCAGCGCCAGTCCGCTGATCGGCTTTGCCTGCATGCTACACCGAGATTGTTCAATGCCTCCACGTACCTGCCAGTGCTTCAATGCACATCATTGCACAAGCACACAACAGCAAGAATGCACAAGTGCAAGTGGCAGGGACACCCAGGTTGGAGCTGAACCGCTTTCGCGTACATCTCTTTGGCTTTTGCAGAGTTATTGGCCTCAAGGGGCGGGCAGACTCCGCTTTGTTTGTCTTCATGGGTGCAGCAGCAGCAGCAGCAGCAGCAGCAGCTGCTCAGCACTTCCCAGCATGGCCTCAGAGTACTGAACTCCAAGCTGGAAATATGCAGGAGCATACGTCTCACAGGCCTCAGCTGCAAAAATGCTCTTAGCCCGTTTTACCTTCCTTGTCGTTTCATTCCAACGCTGCGCCTGGATGGCCTCATGGAAACCGTGGAGGTTGGGCTGGCCAGCAGCCTATGTACCAGCTTGCATCTTTGCCGGTTCCGAGCTCGCATACTTCATGGCCTTCAGCTGTATGGCATCCTCTGTCAGGCAGCGAGCTAATTCCAGCCGCATCTCCTGAAGAAAGCTGTGGTCAGTGGTCGGCAGTACTCAGCAAGTTCAGCCATCGTTGTGCCCCGACCTTCTGCACGGGTAATGCCAGCTCGAGTCGAAGAACCTGGTGCAGGCTCTGGTTCCAGGCAAGCGTACCAAAGGCTTTCAAGCTGCCACCTCGCGGAAAGAGCCTGCAGCTTCTCGCCACCTCTGCTGCCGAGCTAGCAGGAGCGCCTTCGATCACAAGGTGACAAAATGGACCAGCTGAATCGCTTAGAGATTTGAGAAACTTGAGCCGTGATCCTCGGGATCCGTCAGTGACAAGAAGCAAACTCCAGCCTTGTTGCGCTGAGCAGCCATGCTCTGCGTATCCAGTCGGAGAGCTGCCTGGAGCATTGCGACTTACTCTTTCCCTCCTTCCCAGATCCGGAGCTGTGCGAACTTAGTGCACAGAAAACAGGCTGCAACCTGCAACCGGCACTGAAGCTCTCAAAAGGTCGTGCTGAAACCATTAAAAGTCATTAAAGGCACTTGAACCACTCAATACTACAGATCTAGCCACTAACTGAGGTGCTGTGTCCCCAAAATCACCAACGGCCCCAAGACAGGAAAGCACCGAAGTCAGGCTGGAGCCTCATAGCACAACAGTGCTTCATCCAGCTTCTCCATGTGTTCGAGGCACTGCCCGCGCCTTTGAATTGATGGCAGGGATTTATTCCCCTTTAGATTGCAACAAAGCTTCTTGGGAAGCTGACCCAAGATGTAAGTCTGGTCTGCTGGGCTCTATCCGCAAAGCCTACAGGTGTTGCGACGCGGGGCTCCTGCAGTGCCCTGCCCCGGGACGCACCTCGTCCACCAAAGGAAGCGCTTCCGCGTGCCTGACATCCACACTTCCTGCCCTGCACTTGCATGGCACGGCAAGCTGCTGGCACTGCGCCTTGCCCGAGACGCAAAAAAGTCAGCCCGACGAGTTAACGATTGCACCTGGCTTCAGAGATGCTCTCACGAGGCTTTTCGCAGTCTGTTCGGTCAGGCTACACGGTGGCTTTTGCCGATCCAGGGAAGACGAAGAAGCTTGACCATTCAAGTCTAGCCCGGCTTCGGGGAGAGGTGGCTCCCTCAAACAGGGTTTACGACGCAAAACGATGCATGTCATGGTTTCGGTGGAAAGCCGACGCTTTATATGTTTGGGGTATTAAGTGTTGTTCAGGTTTAGGGGCTGCTAGGGTGAAGGTCAGACTTCCAAAGCCTGCAGTAGGAAGACAGAAATCCCCAAAACCGTTAGCGGCTCAACTGGTCGGCGAGGACTTGGTCTGTGCCGGATGGGCAAGTGTAAAGGCACGAATCGGAAAAAAAAATAGAAAACAAAAAATAACTCGGAAAGCTGCGCCACAGAAGCGAAAATATGCGAGAATGCCACCACGGTTTCACTATACAGCAGATGTGCAGGTGTTGATAAGCAGTGATTGGCCCGCTCCGAGAAGGCTAGAGTAAAAGACAGAAGGGACACAGCTGCGATTTCTCTTCGTGCGAGGCAGGGGGAGGAACTGCAAGGCATGATGAGAGGAACACGACAAACATGCCGGTGGAACCGATCCATCCTCTCTTTGCGACTCCATGCGGGGACTTTTTGGTCCTTTGGAGCTGTCCCCACACCTAGGCTAGCATCGCGCGGTGTAGGCAGCCTGCACTTAGACATACTGCTGTCCGAACCCGGTCACCACCTCGCTGGCAGGTACAACATTACATGGCAAAGGGCATCTGAATTTTGATGGACTTAGTTGCAGTCAAGAGCTGCTTCGCAGCTCGTGCTGGAAATGCAACGGGTCAAAACTTCAGATTCTTTCAAAGCATCCAAGCCTGTGTGCGCCTTAGACTCTGGAAAGTCTTTAGAACTGTCTTGCGACAAGACCCAGGGAGAGACCGAAATCCTGCCACCGACTTGCGGCATGAAAACTCCCGTACGTAGTGTTTGTTGGTCGCGGTATCTGCCACTGTGGCCAAGGGTGGGCAGATGGAAACTGGTATGCAGTATGTCTGCCAACGAAGCGCTCTTGCTCAGATCGTCTCAAGGAGGAGCTGCTTGATGCCCTGCTGGGTCTCGAAGCCACCGAGCCAGTCGCTGGCCTAGCCCGATACTCCCGGTACTCTGGTTTCAGAGCCGGTTGCGACCAAGCCCTGGGCAGCTCGTTGGTCGTCGCCGTCATCGGCAGGAGATGCACCTGTCCTTGAGGAGGCGTCCTCTGAAATCCCCTGCCATATGAGTCCGCGATGACACACTTCGCCGTGTTTACCGTGGCAGAAGGGTCGCCACCGCCCCGTCGGCCCAAGTTGAGCTCCAGAGGTCGGTGCCCTGCCCCGCCCGACGACCAAAGTGCCGGCATGGCTCAGGGCGGCTCAAGGCGGCTCAAGGCGGCTCCAGGCTCCGTTCGGAGACTGGGAGACCCTGCTTGAGGCACGGGCACATGGTGGCACATGGTGGCACACTGGTGGCCCCCTTCGGGCACGGGGAAGCTTTCGCACGCATACACAACCGGTCCCCACTGTGAGCGCTGCCCCGCGGAGTCTGCCGCTTCGACAGATTTCGCCCCATCTGCCTGCTTTGCAAGTCCGCAGAGCCCGTCAACCTACACAGATGCCTGCACTTCCCGGCCTTGGAAGCATCGCTCTGATGCTTCATTGGCGCGAAAGGTGCTTATGGAAGGCTCTTGCTCTGCGTTTTGGGCAATGCGTAGACTGGTGACTATCAAGGTCAGCTGTTGCGTAAGCTCCGTCAGTCTCCCATCACAAGTTCTCGAACTTGGATGTCCTGAAGGCTGTTTGGCATGGGAGTCGCCTAAGGCTTGGTGGCTTGTTGAATTTTCTCGTCTTTCAACATAATTCAGTTCTCATGCAGATCACCTGCTATTTCTGCCTGAGCTGCGTGCGGCGTACGGCGTGATAACCACGAATACATGTGCTCTGCCGCATGCAGGCCCCCTGCTTCGGGCAACGCGAGACAAGCCTAAACAGCAGTTTCGGCAGCTTTGTGGTGGAGCCCGCATTGATGGGACCCCAAGGTCATGCAAAGTGAAATTCAGATATGACGGCTCGGAAAATGCCCATAGCTGTCTCGGAGACCAGTCGATCCAAGTTTGCACAGCATCTTCTGCTCACATGGCCAGAAGGCTGCTCGCATGTTGGATGTCAGTGTTTCACGGCTGCAACAAGTTGCCCTGTGATGCTTCAGATGCCACGGAAGATGCCGAAGAAAGATGGTCGCTAAAGCTCTTCCATAAGGTCCTCACTGCTGCCGTATTCGGCAGACTCGCCTTTCATGGAGAAAGAACAAGGAAGAACTCTTCGGACACGTGCTGAGCAGGCACCTCCCAAACCAAGAACCCTCCAGCCTTGGCTGCACAGATGGGCAACCGATGATGCAAAAAAACTGCTCCACTTTAAGCGATCCGCCCACATACACCAACAGGACTTCGAGAACAAAAACCATGATGTAAAGCAGGAAGAGCATTCCGCAGGCCTCCACGCTCACAAAATCTCAGTCCCTATACAGCTGCGTGGTGGATAACAGCACCGGCCTGCGGCCTGGTGTAGCCACTCCTTGTGCTCACACCAGCACAAAGGCCGACACAAAGTTGTGATTTGAGTTACTGTGTGGTACCAGAATTCTGCACGTCTGAGGCCCAAGCTGCTCTAGCAACTCCACAGTGCGAAATGGATTTGGAGCAGAAAGCAGCGATCTCCTCCTACAGAACGAAAGCGCGGTCAGCACAGGCTTAGCCTGCAAGACGGTGCCCTCCGGACCGGGGCGATGACTGGATAGGCTTTCTCGGTTGCTCATCCTCGTCCTCATCCTCCTCTTCTTCACCTGAAGATGTCCACATGGAAGAACATGTGCCCGCAGCTGCGTGACCGAGGGACCCAAGGAGGTACTTCCGCTGCCCACTCCGGCTCCGCTGCCCTTGCAACGTCGGATTTTGGACAGTCGCTGCTTGGCTTTGTGATGCCCCGCCTCCGAACCGTTCTTGTCCAGCAGGGCCAACTGGGCCTGGCAGCCGCTCTACTTCTTGACAGCGACATCAGCGTTAGAATCCGTTAGCCTCTAGCTGCTTGATTTTCTGCTGGAAGCGTGCCGCCTGATCGTACCTCAGACTTTGTGACTCCAGAGCTAGCGCAAGGTGGCTCGACCTGCGCTGTGTACAATCCGAGGCTTGGGGGAGCAGCTGCTCTTTCTCGACGGCTTCCTTCTTTTTGTGTTTCCTGCGCGCCGACACCCTGCTGGCAAGGTTGGCAATGGTCCCCAACTGAGCCGAGCTGCACAATGTCCAAAGCTGCCTTAAGGACTGTAGGATTCGAGAAGCTCCTGCATCGGGGATGTCTGATGTCTGAAGATCAGGTGACCGAAGTGCCGTAAGGAAAATCTTGCCGCCAAAGGTCGACTTTGTCTTCCCTTTGGAGTCCTAGCACCAAGCGGGACTAACAGGCAGTGGCGCTGCAAAACAGCCCCTGGCAGTCGTCCTCAGGGCCATCCTGGTGCAGAACTTCATCAATTCGATTCAAATCGTTTCAACAGGAGCACAGAGCACATCTACGACACCCAACCTCCGCAGACTCAGCAGTTGGAGCCATTGCCGGCAATCCTATTCTCAGTGTACATGCGGCGTGACACCTGTCTCCAAGCCTGTCAGCCTCTTCCAGTCAAACTCCTGAGCATGTCTAGTCTAGTGAGTCTAGTGGCTAGTGATGCCGTCAGCTGCACATCGCTCTCATGGTCTCGTTGTCCAATCTTGCTCCCAGCCAAAGTAGATCTCACAGGGCTGATCTGCATAGTGATCTTCAAGAGAAGGCAGGAAGGCAGGCATTTTTGACGCACGACTCGACCAATGTGTCCCATTGCGGAATTCCTGGCAGTCCAAGCCATAGATCTGCACAGACTGTCCCTTCCAGGCAACCCTGCCAAGCCTTGGGCGACCGCACGTGCGCCTTTCAAACACGGCAACGCGCTCTGTTGCAAAACTTCTGACACTGCAAAGTACTGTTTGCGGCACCTGTCTGGTGGAGAGATGCTCGGCCACACCTGCTCGCACGGCTGCGATTGACAAAAAACTCCTATACCGAAGTCTGTATATTTTCTGTCCTTGCAGTATGCGAGATGCGCACGAAAGGAACCCGAAACCAGACTTTTGACATGCCGACTTGAGTTATCCACACATGGAAGAAGGCTCGATCTGGCACTTCTTGCACAAATTTTGAATGCAAAGCGCATTGTGTTACCTAAAAGCAAAGGCAAGTGCTCCGCGTCTTTTGCTGACACGAATATGCGTTTCCACAACCTGTGAAAATGTACTGCATTTTCTTGGTGGACCAACCCAAAGCAATTCATGTCCGTAGCCCCAAAACTTGAGCAGGGCATCTGACAACTGCACGGTGCAAGCAAAGACTCGCTTGAACATGCAAGCATGTGCAAACAGCATGCCGAGCTTGGAAGGGGCCTGGAGCAAACTCTCGCCTACGCCGGCTGAAACTTCGGCTCCTTCAACGTCATAGATACCAGCTCCAGATCAACTGAAGCACACTCAAACGAGTTGATTGCAACACGAAACACCTGGATCTTTGCAGTTGGTGAGCTCCTGCTGCGGACACACCGCTCTCTGAAGACCGGCTCGGTTCCAGAAAGGTCCTGCTGCAAACCATGCAGCATGTACCAAAACATGCGATGCACTCCGATCGTCG